ACACACACACACACACACACACACACACACACACACACACACACACTAATAATGTTGATAATAATATTCTAAGTTTTTAGAAAACCCTAAAGGAAAAACAGCTGAGTAACCATTTATGAGCAAGCACTTTGGGGGCCATTTCACACTGAGATGGAGATTGATAGCTCTTCTCTCTGTCAGCCTTAGTTCCTATGTCATGTTCCCAACATGGGCACTTTGCATATCCTCACCGTTAAAGGTAAGCATTTAGGGCTGGGCATGTAGTTCAGCAATAGAATACTTACCTAGCATTTGGAAATGCGATACAGGGTGCATGGATAATCCCTAGCAACACAAGCCAACTCTTCCCTCTTGTTCCCCCAAAAGACATAGTCATCTGTAACCATGCAGGAGGAAAACTTGGACATATTGAATACATCAAATAGATAATTCCTAATTAGCCTTCAATGGTGATTTTTTTTAAAACCATGCCAAATTTTCCATATATGTTTACTGGTAAGAACAACTCTAATTCAAACAGCATCATCCTGGAAGCTCATTCTTTCATTCAACAGATGCTCCCTGAGTGTCTGTTATGTGCCAGGCACTAATGCTAAAATCCAGTTAATCCCAACAAACTGAAAACATAGAAGACTCCAAGTATTTATTGGGTTCTCAAGGCTTTGTAGTTGCACAGTGCTAACTGTGTGATGTCCATGCAAAGCAGACCATGGTAAACTTGCCTAGATGTCAGTATCCACCTGAAATATGGGACAAAGAGACCTTGAACCTCCACCTAAAATTACATTATTCTATGGGGTCATCAGAATTTTTCACAATGAAAACTTTAAGCATGAGTAGATTGAGTATTTTGTAAAAATGTAATAGTCGCATAAAACTGCATATTGTCTATAGTCAAAGGAGAACAAAAGATGAGACTAAGAGACCTCAAACTTCAAGCTAGTGGAGCCCCTGGGGTAGGATCATGATAAGCATAGAAGAGCGTTCACCTGTATGGATCGTGTTTTGTTTGTTAAGAAGATTTTTACTACATAGGGATTTTATAAAACTTTTAACTAACCCAGGAAAGGAAAAATAAAGATACTGATATATTTAGGGATTGAAATCAGACATTCAAATCTCCAGTTATAAGAAAGAGTTCCAATTAAGGTCCGGTTTATTTCCAATATGCTGGTTCTCTCTGGACAATAGGCTATTTTAAGAATTATTTCACATATCCCTGGTTAAAGATGTTTATCCAGTATCCAAAATTCATGGCCAGAAAATATTTTTAATCACCCCACCCACGAAGCTCAGGGTCTCATTAAAACATTACAATGTGATTTCATTGGAAGAAATGATAATTTTCCCAGGAAGGACAAATGGAGAGGGATCTCAGGGATGTCTGCAGCCTGTGATCATCAGGAAATGCTTGCTGGAGTGGCCCTTGCTACATTGCTATGTTTTTACCTGAGGGTCATCAGCCTTGGTGATATGATCCCTGAGAGACCCACAGACAGGTGGCATTTCTTCCTAGAGAGGAAATGACCCAGGACTAATTGAGGTAGAATTTGAAACTAAATTTGCCTTTGCTAACATTCTCTCTGTCTCCTTTTTGATATTTGAATGACAGTGAAGGGAGCAATCTGACCCCTGCACATCACTATCCAGACTTCAGATTTAAGACCTATGCTCCGCTAGCCTTCCGGTACTTCAGAGAACTCTTTGGAATCAAGCCTGATGATTACTTGGTAAGAGTCTTTCCATAGAAATGCATGATATAAATAGTCTCACATAGCAGTAGTCACAAGTGGCTGTCTCTTATAGACCTCAGGAGCATTGTAAATGGTCTATGTTTTATGACTATAAATTCACCTTTAAGAAATGTGATTTTATTCCATAGCTTTTAACTGATAGTTACAAAATCTGTAGTTACTATTTAAATAACTGTGATTTGCCGCTTCAGTTAATCATTGTAACCGATATAATTAATCTTAAAGATTCCTGTGAACTTTACTAATTGGATTCTATTTGAATGTCTTCCTATTTTATTTGTCTTATTTTTATCACTCATCTCAGACCTTCCTTGGACCACAACAATTTTCACCTTGCCCCATAAATTCAGATGACATTTTAAAGAAGCTGTATAGTTTTGTTCTCAACATCTCTTCATGTAATCTCCTTTTAATCCTGCTTGTATATGTACAAGGGTATGTTTTATCCTCTCTGTCTTTCCCTTGGCACACAAGAGGCACAGACATCAGTCTGTGGTGTCCAGTTTGGCCGTAGAGTTTATCTCATTCCTGTTCCGAAACTTACAAACTCACATTTTTTTAAAGAGAGGTGGCTTGTTACGATTTGATCACTGTTTCTACCTTGGGGCTCTTCAGAATTGGTTTTTAAGCAGCCATAGAAAAAATGCCATCAAATACTTACTGCTTAGCATTCTAACCATTCTGAATGGTCTTGGGTGACATCCTGCAGCAGTGCTTTCTGGAGGAACTTGGGCAGCATTTGTCATTGGTAACAGAATGTCTTAAATTCATCTTTCAATATGAATAAGATACAAAGAATGAAATTCGAAGCTGATGTCTGTTGTGTGCTAATGAAAACCCATGAATGAGCCTCCTTTTAGTTGATCCCTAAGAATGTAACATGATTCTTTTTAAAATATTTGTGTGTGTGTGTGTGTGTGTGTGTGTGTGTGTGTGTTTTGTGTAGGGGGGAGTGCATGAGCTACAATGCAGTGTGGAGACCAGAGGACAGCCTTGACTCTTGGTACTTATCTTCTACCTTGTTTTTAAGGCAGAATCTCTCTAGTATGCCATTATGTGTACTCCAAGCTTCTAGGCCTGCGAGCTTCTAGGATATTCTGTCTCTGCCTCCCAGCACATTGCAGGGGTGCTGGGATTATAGACACACACCATTACATCTGACTTTTACATGGGTTTCAGGGATCCAAACTTAAGTCATCAGTCTTCGTAATAAATACTTTTATCTACTGAGACATTTCCCTGGCCCAGAAAATCATATGATTTCTCCTTGACAAGATAATCTAGTTCCTCAGGGTGTAGCACTTAAACTCTACAGAATAGTGAAGAATGCTGCAAAGCCCAGGGTATTCTGGCCTCTGTAAGGCCAGCTCTCTCTATCTCACTATTACCTTTGAAATGTTGGTATGTCTCACTATCGCTCCCAGCTCAAGCACAGCATGTTCTGGAGGTGTGTGTTGGAAAAGATTCTTCAAGTTTGACTATTCAGAAATAACTGAAGGTCACCATCTCACAGAAATGGGTTTTGGGAACCTAATGGAGTTTCATGTTATATTATGGAAAGCAAGTTCAGCCTCTTAGCTTGTGCCACACAGAAGAAATGAATGGATTCTCCTTCTGAATGTCGTTAAACTTCTGGCCTGTGTTGGTGTGATGTCACATTACACTGATGCCTGGATAAAGACAGCCTGACTGAGTATCCGTTTCAACCAAGAGTGGGATGTGAGCTTCTCTGAGAACCTGTTCCTTCAAATTTCTCCCAGAACTGTGCTCACAAACAAAGGCCTTGCTCTCTTTATTGAAGCAGTACATCCAGCATGCATTGGGGGAGGAAAAAGTGGAAGGATTTGTCTTATCAGGGAATTTATCCTTCCTGACTCTGCTGACCTAGAGCAGCACATACAAGCCCAAACAAATGTTATCACTCCCACCTGTGGTTTGCAACATAAATGGTATAATTGCTTCCAGTGTTCACATTTGGGGCACTTTCAAAATTCACAGCATACACACACATATACATTGTTCTAGCTCAAGGTCAAGGAAGAGTCATTAGGAATTAAAGTTATGTTTAAGTTTCAAGAGGAGCCCAAGGCCTGGTAAGCTTGTTACATTATAAACAAGCTTCAATAGCATTAAATGATCTTTTTTTTTAAATGGGTATGAGTGTATTGCCTTCATGTGTGTAAGTGCACCTGGGTCATGCAATAGGTCAGAAGGGGGTGTCAGATCCCCTAGAACTGGAGTTATGGACAGTTGCTACAACCATGTAGGTGCTAGGACTTGAACCCGGGTCCTCTGCAAGAGCAGCCAGTGCTCTTAACCACTAAGTCATCACTCCAGCCCTGCATTAAATGATCTTAAACCATAAAATTAACTTTTTGGTTACAAGGTTAGGTGAAAGTCATTTGTCCAAAAGTCCTTCTGTACCGACCAGCCAAAGAGCTACCACAGCAGTTCACAGCTCTGTGATGACAGCATCTGTCACAGCACTGGCTGTAGTGTGACAAGATGACTGCTTCTCAGCCCTGCTGCGTTCTTTGCCCACAGCCAGGACTCATTCTGATCGCACATGGTTGCTTTCTTTGGAAAAGCTCTTTTCTGAACAACTTCTCACACAGCTTTCACAAGTTTCATGATGAGGGGGCTGGAGAGATGACTGTGCTTTCAGAGGACCAGTGTTTGAATCCCAGCACCCACATGGCAGCTAACAACAGTCTGTAACTCAGTTCTAAGAACTCTAACACCCTCTTCTGTCCTCTGCAGGCAGTGTATGACATGGGCACACTTACATACATGCAGGCATAACCCTTGTACACATAAAATAAAAATAATCTTTTTATTTAGTCCTGTAATGAGTCTCTTTAAGCCAGAAAAATTTTCTTAATGGAGCTGGAGTATTTGCAAAGGAGCCTAGGAGACTAAGCCACTTGATAATGAAAAGGCCTTTATCTGTATGCCTGGCAAAGATGAATATTGAAATCAGTGGGCACTTTGAGCACCTATTAACCTATAGTTACAGAGAGATTTAAAATTTTTAAGTCATAATGCTTAGAGAACTTAGAATCACAGTAAGATTACTTTATGTGGAAAAAAATATCCCTCCCTAGGCAGTAAGTGAAAAGCCTGAACCAAAATAAAGATTGCTTCAGAAATTCTGTGGAGGGAGTGGTCTGTCGGAAGGTTCAGAGGCCTTCTGTAAGTGTTACATGGCTTTTACTGTGCCTCTGTCATTAAAGGGCCAGGCATGGTGGCACATGCCTGTTATCCCAGCACTCTGGAAGCAAACCAAGAAGGGACATGAGTTCAAGGACAGCCTGGCTACACAGAGAGACCTTGTCTTAAGTAAGAAAGTAAATAAATCAATATTACAGGGCATTTGAGTAAGTAGAAAGTAAGGGACAGATGTTCGGGGCTTGAAAAAGGGGTGTTGATAGGAGTGTGAGGCCAGGGGGTGTGAATGTGTCAGATGTTTAGAAGAACTCTGAAGGGACCAGTATTGCTTCAGGGGAGAGTTTTGATCTGAAGCATAGATAGAGTCAGACAGTTCAAATAAACTGGATTTTAAACTATTTTTAAAAAGGAAATGTAACGTTTTTTGTAGTGTTACAGAATTATTAGGGGGGTAGGAAATGATAGAATGAGTCTTCATCTATAGATGAAGTGATTTGCTCTCTGAGATTTATTTAAGAATTTGAGGGCTAAAAATATACAAACTTTCAGTACAAAGTCTGTGTGGTAACTCAAGCCAATAGCAAAATGGTATGCACTTTAAAGTTGCTAAAAGAATAGATTTTAGGGGCTGGAGAAATGGCTCAGTGGTTAAGAGCACATACCACTCTTTCAAAGAACCCAAGTTCAGTTCCCAGCAACCACATCAGGCAGCTCACAACCACAACCTGATGGAACTGACGTTTCTGGCTTCCTTGGGCACCTGCACTGACATGCACTTACCCATACACAGACACACATATAGGCACATAATTTAAAATAATAATATATTTTTAAAAGAATAAATTTAAAACTTTCCTATAACATATACTCAAAAACGTAAAAGGTATATTAATTTAGCTTAGTTTATCCACCCCACGTTGTATACACGTATACCTCATGTTCACCATAAAAAAAGATGTTTTATTTGTCAGCTAAAAAACAGTTGGAAGTACTTTGTAAGTTAAATGAGTATGACTTTTTTACTCTCTCTGTAACTATAAGCAAAGCACTTTATACACAGTAGTTGAGTGCCCAGTGAATTGAATGGAATATACATTAACTCTCAATATAAATATTATTTAAAAATAATTGAAAGCAAAATAAAGAAGTGAATCTGGAGGAGGCAGAAAGGGGGGTGGTTGAAGCTATGGAAGAAACAAAATTAGCCATGAGTTAATCATTGGAAGCTAAAAGTAGAAACATGGATATGTGTATGAAGTTTTCTACCATGAGGAGGGGCTGTTAGCAGGCACGTACCTGTGTTTTCCTTTGTCTCCGTTTCTCCCCCGCCTTTGTTCATCTCATATACAGCTCCTTGACTAGGCACATGGCTGGGACCTGCAAGGAACAGAATAAGCCAGTAGTCCAATTCACACTTGATAGCTGGGTCCCCAGCAGTTGGCCACCCACCCTTACACTGGAGACACCCACATCCTGGGACTAAGGCAGCTCTGTGGTAAGCCTTGGAGCTTCTGGAAGTTCATCTCTTTTTGGGGGACCCCACCACACAATCTAGAGTATATCAGATGCATGTAGTAGCATGCTTCAGACTCAGGTGTCATCCTCAGAATCATTTTAACCGATCTTTATATGAGGAATCAGAGGCTAAGTTCAGTGAAGGGAAGTGTCCTCGGTTACCTGCATTGGTAGGAGCAGAACCAGGATGTGGATAGTAGTTTCCACACTTTCCCCAAATGTTCTGAAGACCAGTCCCAATGGTCTCATGCTTCCTACCCATCATGACACACCTCTCAAGTATGATCCCAGGT